AAATTTGAGTCTGTATATATTTTTCTCACTAAGCCCTTATTCTATAAAGAATTATAGAGAGCTGTATTTTCAACGTGGTTTGACAAGTAAGGCAAAACAAGAACATGCAGCGATATGTGTATTACCTAAAGCTCCAAACAGCTTTTTGAATAGGGTGAAGAGAAATAAACTTTGTGAACTGAAAAGAATCTGGTTGAAATGACAAAAGCTGGGAGGGTAGTAGTAAGTTATACTTAATAAAAAAAAAAAGATAACATAAGTACAAATTTGGCATAGCACTTGTTTTCAGATCTATATTTAGAATATAAAGGTTCAAATCTCCATGGGGGAAAAACGGAAATCGAACTGGCCAGAACCCAAATATTCATTTCTGTGTTATGAGCAGAAAAGCACAAAGGAGGGTTCAATGAACTAGTCATAACCTGGATTTGATTGGCTTTCTTGTTTACATTGACATGCACTGTGACTTAGAAAGTTATTCTGTAAGATTAGAAAATTTTGAATTACTGTGTGTTTGAGAAAATATAGTTCATATTTATGACATAAAGATTTGTAACAAATTGATTCAATTCTGCAGGAAGATACTGAAAATACTACAATATGCTTGGCGCTGTCTTATAAAATGGTTAAGGAATACTGTATAAAACAAGAATGACACGATTGTGTCTGTGGTAGGCTTTTTCTCTAATGTTCTTCAGTGATCTCTCCCTCCTGGTATTTATTTCTTTGTGTCAGCCCCTCCTCTTGACTGTGGGCTGGACCCGGTAACATGTTTTTAATGCAGTGATGGACTATCACTCCAAAATTAGGTTATAAAAGCTTGTAACATACATCTTTTTGGCTCTCTTTGTCTTTCTGTCTGTCTCCCTCTCTCTCCTCATGGCCGTCCTCTGATCATGTAAGATACCTTGTTGCTGGATGGAGAGGCCCCTCTGGCAATGACCTGAAGGCAGCGTCCAGCCAACAGCAAGCAAAGAATTGAGCCCTCAGTCCAACATCCCTTGAGGACCCAAATCTTGCCAACAACTATTTAAATTTGGGAGCAAAAGCTTCTCCAGTTGACGTTTCACATGAGACCACAGCCCTGATCAACACCTTCATTGCAGCTTTGTAAGAGATCACACAGCAGAAGACAAGTTCGCTCATATCTGGGTTCCTGACCCACAGACAGTGAGAGAAGAAACATGTGCTGCTTTAAGCTACTAAATTCTGTGGCAATTTCATACAGCAGTAGGTAACTAATACAGTGCCCTAAAAGAGCTTCACATCTAGGTGTCCCTTTAGAGCTGACCTCTTTGACTCCTGCTTCTTCTCAACCCCACATTCATTCACTCACCAAGTTCTCTCCCTTCTGCCCTAAATCAATAGTTCTCAAAAATTATTTTTGCCTCAATCAACAAAGCCAAGGCAGATCTTTACTTAGACATTTCCATCTTATTTTATTAAAATAGATTAGCAATAACAATGAGATGAGACTGCATAATTAACAGATTTCTGAAATACATGATTCTGATTTTCAATGTACACATGCTTCCAAGCAGTTATTAGAAATGGAGAGCCTAAAAATATTACCGGTGAAAAGTATTCACCTACACCACTGGATAAAGAAAACCATCCACAACAAACTAATCTGATCATGAGAGGGGTAATTTACAAAGAAATTGTCATGAAAACCCATGCTTAGCTGCAGGTGAAATGTCTAGCAAATCAAAGCAACACTGAACACAAGGCTTCTTTGTGAGTAGGATTTCTCTGTGCATAGGGGCTGACAGAGCTGTGTGGCATGAGACTTCACAGTCAAAAACTGACCCCTGGTTCCAAGCAATACTTATCTGGCATGCATTTTGGTGTATGAGTGCAAAATTTGAGTAAATCTTGATACTTAGAGGAACTGT